CACTTGACCATACTTGTTATTTTTTGTATGATGTGGAAGCTACCACTGCTTGCCCAGTAGAAACACTCCCTACCCAGAAAACTTTGTCTTGTCAACATTGCCCGAGACATTTTTAAGAGTCTTTGCTAGCTGGCAAAAACAGTCTCCAGTCCTTGATTTTTGAATTTGTCATAGCCCTTGGCCTTGTCCCAGCAATCCTCCTAGGAATCCTAGTTTTGTTGTTGTTGTTGTTGTTGTTGTTGTTGTTGACCACGTTCTAGTTCTAGGGACTAAAGTCTGAGAGTCCTCTGGGCTCTGGGATTAGGCAGGATGTCAGAAGCAGCTGGCTGCTTGCAAAGAGGGCCTGGGAGAGTCTCCACAGGTTGTGAACACAGGCTGGTGTTTCCAATTAGACTAATCATACAAGATCCTTGTGTGTCATGTTCTCCTGTGAAGTCAACATGTTTCTTGATCTGAAGCACCAATTTTTCTTCCCCACTTTGTAATTATCTTATATCAAAGAGTTCTTCTTTGTTTTTTAACTAACCTTGATATTCCATGCTTGATTTCATTTCACCAAGCCATAACTCTAACTTATACTATTATCCAAATCTTTACAAACCTCCATTGTCCTTTCTTGAAAATGAGGTATCACAATACAGGGTCCTGCATAGAGTGGGAGACAAATGTGGAAGAAAACTCAAAATCCTACATCTTCAAACCCACTTTGACAAAGGAGACCTCACCTCAGATGGGGTCAGTTTTTCAAGAGGTGAGGAAAGGGAGACCATTCCGTTGCTGCCATAAAACATTGTGCTAAGGTCACCCCAAATCAACAGATACTCCTACCAGAGTGAAAAATAAAACGTACTGGAAAATCGAGTCAATATGGAGGAAGAAAAGTGTGTATGTCTTGGAGAAGGCGATTACATTTCTGCTGGTAGGAAAACAGGGAAGAGCAACCTCCCGTCAAGAAAAAATACTGAGGAATACTTATATAGAACCCAAGGGGAGAAAATGCCTGGTACTATGTCCCTAATTAGACACTTTCGACCTGGCTTCCATCCAACACTTGGTGACCCAGTGCTGTTGACTATTGGGACTTTAGACTCTGTCCTTTTGAGACACACAACATCCTTCACAACCCACACCAGAAGGACTTGATGTGAAAACCCCACTGTGTGAACTGGACTTTACCTCAAATGCACCTGGAGCCCTTGGACTGGAGGGTGAAACTCCCCAGTGTGAGACGAAGCAGATGACTGCTATGCCGAGGGCTGGCAGTCGTTGCACTTTGGTTCAGATGTCTTACCTTGAGGGTCCCTAATGAATGATGGCCCAGACTACCATATAGTTACTATTTAATACATTCCTTGCTTTATTATGTCCTGTATTAATCTGGTAGGCATGGTTCTACCACGGTGAATGAATAGTATTGAAAGTTTTTCCCTATCGCCAACCCCCCAATGTTTGTGTAAATAGTGTTGAGTCACTTAAGAGTTTAATCTATACAAGTCAACAATTCATGTATTGAGGTTCATAGCTGCTCTGTACTTGTATAATATCCTTTGCTCAACAGTGTTTTAAATGCTATACCATTGGCTAAATAAAAGAATTACCTGATACCCCAGAGTTATAACATAAAATGGCAGTGATATGTGTAAACCATAGATATATGAATGAAGTCAGTGTTTGAATTTAATTCTACCCCGAATCTAAGAACAATTAGTTACTATGACATGGCCTTGCTTGATGCTCACCCTTAAGAAGAGATCACTGAAAATAAGGGTACTATAGCAAAGTGTGGTGAAGAAATCAGATGGTGCCCAGCTAGCAGAAAGAATAAC